CATGAAGGAAGGCATTTTTTATGTCAAGTTGAAATAAGGGCCAATCATACATAACTGCCAGGGAAATTAACACATGGACAGAGCTAATCTTAGCCACTGGAGAGAAGGTCTCCATATAGTACACTCCATACAACTGTGAATACCCTTTAGCAACAAGTCTGGCTTTCAGGCGCTCCACACTACCATCTGACAAGTATTTAACAATATACACCCATTTACGACCCACAACATGCTTACTAGGAGGAAGAGTAGTGAGCTCCCACGTGTGAGTATGCTGAAGAGCAGAGAGTTCCTCCTCCATTGCCTGCCTCCACCCAGGTGAACTAAGGCCTCTTGGATATTGTTAGGTATGGAAATAGATGACAATAGTGAAACAAACTAGCGATGTGAGGCGGAAAGGCGAGATACTGAAACAAAAWTGGAAATGGGATGGAGAGTAGAACTACGTTTACCTTTCCGTAAGGCAATGGGTAGGTCAAGTCCTGAGAGTTCAGCAACAGGAGCAATGACAGGATCCGCGGACAAGGTAGAAGCTGGAGGAGGGGCCGGTGTCGTTCGACGTGTATACACTTGCCGAATTGGTGGTCGTTCAGYAGGGATCTGCACTGGATGAGGTGACGAGTCAACTCTAGCAGGATAGTTAAGTAATTTTATCATAGAATAAGGTCACTCCAGTCCATTGTTTGTTTTTCATAAATAAGGGCATACTTGTGATTATACACTTAAAGTTAATCTAAGGCTGAGCTGACTGCTTAGAGGAGATTAAGATATACTAATCTCTCTCTAATCAGTTTGGTTGTTTTCTCCTTTATCTTCTTTTCTCTTATCCTCTCTTCTCTTCTCTTCCCTCTTTCTTTCTTTCCTTCTCTTTTAGTTCTTTACTGTTCGATGCTTCTGTAATACCATATTTCACATGGTATCAGAGTAGGGAATGTGAGAGAGATCTGTAGGGTTCTTTTTCACAATCGATCTGATTAAGGTTTCTTCTGGAAGGCTGTAATGTATGGGAAAAGGGAAAAAGAAAAAAAAAAAAAAGAGAAGGGAGAAACATGCTTTGATACCAAGAAGTAAATCAGTCCTCTAAAATTGATATAAACTTGATTAAAATTAGAGAGAAAAGTGAAAGAAAGGTAGAAGACAGCAGTACAAAAGAAGAAGATGAAAAAAAGAAGAGGAAGAAGAAGAAGAGTTCGATAATCTCCTCTCTCCCCTCTCTAATCCTTTTGTTAATCTTCATTCTCTATGGAGAGATAAGTTCCCTATTCAGAGGATTTTTTGCCTAGCTGGTAGAGGGTTTGGAGACTTGAAGTCTGGCCGGAAACTACCAGGTCAAGGAGAAGCTTTTGGTGTGGCACTCAGTGCTTGGGAGGTGTATTTTGAATTCTAGAAGTGTGTGGTTAAGACTTTAAAGAGGTCGTGAAGCTCTGGTAGGAGCGGCTGCCTCTTCTCTCTTTCTCCCCGACTGTCGAGTGCAGTGAAACCCTAGTTGTCAAGTATCCGAGTACGTTTTGACCTCAAGTAAGTTTATAAAGGTTGAAAATCTAGTTTTTTATTTTTGTTTGATCAATGGAGCAATATGGAAGTGAGTCCAAGTAGATACTGGTATCCGGGTTTGGCTCGGTAGATTTCGTTTTGACTGGAGTGACCACAATTAAGTTGGATGGAACCAATTACCTAGCTTGGGCACAGTCTATACGGATTATGCCTGTAGTAGAGGTAAATTAGGGTATCTCATAGGCAATAGGGTGAAACCCGCAAAAACAGACCCTGCATTTGAGAAATGGATGCAGGAGAACTATAAAGTAATCGGATGGTTGGTTAACTCTATGCAGCCCCATATAAGTCAGCATTATCTTTCGATGTCTTCAGCTAAGGAGATCTGGGATAGTGTTACGGAAACCTATTCATAGAAGTTGAATGTGGAAAGAGTCTATAAGCTAAAGAGTGATGTGAAAAATCTAAGACAGGGGGAGAAGAATGTGGCAATCTACTACTATATGTTGAAATCACTTTAGTAGGAAATTGATGTTATGGAGACAATTGTATGGAAGAGCACAAAGGATGCAAAGACTTTTAGGAAATTGGTGGAACGAAACAGGGTGTTTGAGTTTCTTACAGGACTCAACCCTGAGTTCAACATTATTAGGCAGAATATTCTGGCCAAGGATGAGGTCACTCTTGCCCAAGCATATGCTATGATAAGCAGTGAAGAGAGTAGGCGGCAGGTTCAGTTACAAGGCCCACATACAGAACACTTTGCACATGATGGAGGGTTCGACTGAGAAGAAAGAGATTATATGTGAATACTACAAGAAACTGAGGCATACTAAGGACACTTGCTGGAAGCTTCATCCAAATCTTCTACTGGACAGGTTTAGGAATAACAACAATTTTAAGAAGATTGGTCAGACAGGAAAGCCTAAGAATGCTAATCTTGCCATATGCCCGAAGGAGGGAATAAGGAGAGTGAAGAAAAGTCAACCATGGAACAGTTGGCAGCAATGAAAGTAGAGTTTGAAAAGTATGGAAGGTTATTGAATCACTTGGAAAGCATTGTCTCAACATCCCACTCTTTAGGCAACACATCATCATCTGCATTTTCTCACTCAGGTATCCGTGCTTCTACAAATCATGCTTTTGTTTCAGGTAATCATAAAATTCCTTCGATCATTGATTCTAGTGCATCAGACCATATGACCAGCTTGCCTAACCTCATCTCTTCTCTGGTAAAAAGAAAATATCTCTTGCTGATGGTTCTCTTGCTCCCATCTCTGGCATTG